AGCCACCGGCGGGGACGGTGAGGAGCTGGGCAGGGGATAAAGCAGGGAGGGGTCTGGCAGCATTTGGGTTCTCCGGGCAGCGCTCGGTGCTGTGATGCTGCCCCGTGCTGCAGGAAGCAGCTGCGTTTGCGGCAAGGCAAGAGGTGGTTTCAGCCCTTGGAGGGGGAGACTTTAGATACAACGGGGTGGGAAACTGCCTCTGTTTCTCCCCAAACTCCCAAACTGACGTGGTCCCACTCCTGTCTTGAACACTGCAAGGAGCAGCTCTGCTCTGGTCCCCTTCTCCGGTGAGGTGAGAGGGGACGGGGAACACCGCCTGTGCTGGTTTCTGAGCCTGGTTTTTTGGTTGGTTTGGGCAGATTCGGACGATGCTCTGCTGAAGATGACGATAACTCAGCAGGAGTTTGGGGGGGCCGGGCTGCCCTGCCCGACCTCAGCAGCATGACAGAGGAGGAGCAGATCGCCTACGCCATGCAGATGTCGCTGCAGGGAGCGGGTGAGCGCCCCGGACCAGAACCACCAACCCCTCCACCCCGGTGTGCCCCAGAGCGGGGCTGTGTCACCTGGGCAGGGTCTGGATCATGAAATCACAGTGGGGTTTGGGTTGGAAGGGACCCCAAAGCCCCCCAGACCAACCCCCATGGGCAGGGACACCTCCACCAGCCCAGGCTGCTCCAGGCCCCGTCCAACCTGGCCTTGGGCACTGCCAGGGAGGGGGCACCCACAGCTTCTCTGGGCAACCTGGGCCAGGGCCTCCCCACCTCCCAGGGAGGGATTTCTGCCCAAGATCCACTCTAAATCTGCCCTCTTCCAGTTAAAAGCCACCACCCCTTGTCCCATCACTCTATGTCTTTGTAAAAGGTCCCTCCCCAGCTTTCCTGTAACCCCTTCAGGTCCTGAGGTCTCCCTGGAGCCCCAGATCTCCCTGAATGCTTGCAGGGGTTGCTCCCAGGAGGTGTGGGAACCCCTGGGGGTACAAATTCTTCATCCTCAGGCCCCCCATCTCCTCCCACAGAGTTCGCCCAGGCGGAGGCAGCCGAGGTGGACAGCAGCACTCCTCTGAACCCGCCAAGGTGGGAGCTCGTCCTGGGAGGGGACTTCGTCCCTGTCCCCAAGGCCAGGAAGGTTGAGACCCAACCTGTCCCCACCTCCTCTTCCTCTGCCCGCAGGAGGAAGACGACTACGACGTGATGCAGGACCCCGAGTTCCTGCAGAGTGTGCTGGAGAACCTGCCCGGCGTGGACCCCAACAACGAGGCCATCCGCAACGCCATGGGCTCCCTGGCCTCGCAGGCCTCCAAGGAGGGCAAGGACAAAAAGGAAGAGGAGAAGAAATGAGGGCACGGGATGGGGCCAGGGCGAGGTGGCGACCGCTGGCCCCGGGGGTGAGTCGCCTGCCTGCCCGGGGGGGCGGTGGCTGCTGTAAGGGGACAATAAAGGATTTCCATGGGTGTCTCTGTCCCTGCCGCCTTCCTGGGGACGAGCCCTCGCAGGGGGTGGCCCAGGCTCCTCCTGGGGAGCCTCTGGGTCCCCTGTGCTGGGGGAACTGGGTCTGGTTCTCTTCTCTACTGGTGGAACTGGACCCCTGCGTCTCCGCTGTACTGGGAAGAACTGGGCCCCCGGAATTCCTTGTGCTGGAGGGAAATGGACACCACTCTTCCCTATACTGGAGAGAACTGAGCCCTGCTCCCCACTGTGCTGGGGGAACTGGGAGCTGATCTCCTCTGTGCTGGGGGAACTGGGTCCCTGGGTCTCCCCTCTACTGGGGAAACTGGGCCCCGAAATCCCCTCTACTGGGGAGAACTGGGCCCCTGGATCTCCCCTGTACTGCGGGGATGGATGACTGGGACCTGGGCCTCCCTTGTACTGGGTGAACTGGGCTCCAGGTGTCCCCATCCCCACCCCCACGTGATGGTGGGGCCTGGCTGTCCAAGCCCCGCCCCGAGCGGGCGCTGCTGCAGGATGTTTACAGTGCGGCCGGAGGAGGCGGGCCTTGGTAGTTGATGAGCAGCTGAGTTGGCCAATCAGTGAGGCGCTGGTGTGGATGATGTCAGTTCGGGGG